TTGCTCCTTGACTTACGATGGGATTATGTCTCGGTAAACCCATCAAGTGTGAAAATGCACTTTAAAGTCACAATATTTTCAACTTAACAATGTTTTTATTTTTTGGGGAAATAACCCCATTGTAAGTTGAGGAGCATCTGCACTGCACAAGCAATATTATAATGATAACAGATGTTGTTTTTTTTTTTCTTTTTCTTTTTAAATTATTTTTATTTTTTTATCTCAGTATATTATGGGGGTACAAATGTTTAGGTTATGTATGTTGCCCTTGTCCCCCAACTTGAGTCAGAGCTTCAAGGGTGTCCATCCCCCAGATGGTGCACATTGCACTCATTATGTATGTATATACCCATCCCCTCCTCCCCGTCCCATCTGCCCACAACCCAATAAGTGGATTATTCTTATATGTCCACTTAAGTGTTGATCAGTTAATACCAATTTAATGGTGAGTACACGTGGTGCTTATTTTTCCATTCTTGGGGTACTTCACTTAACAGAATGGGTTTCAGCTCTATCCAGGAAAATACAAGAGGTGCTATATCACCATTGTTTCTTATAGCTGAATAGTACTCCATGGTATACATATACCACATTTTATTAATCCACTCATGTATTGATGGGCACTTGGGTTGTTTCCACATCTTTGCAATTGAGAATTGTGCTATAACAGACATTTTCAAATGAGAAACTCATTCATTATTCCACTTCTCAACAAATCATGTTTTTATTTTTCTCTTCTATGTGCATATGTAATATTTTGCATAGCTATAATCATTCTCTAAAATACATTTTGTCAGTTCATATGTTACCTAATAAGTGACATATTTTACACATGATACCCGGCTGACAATAATAGAATTGATCTTGCCCATCTCAACACTAACATCTTTTTTTAATTTCAACATATTACCAGGGTACAAATGTTTAGGTTACATATATTGCCTTTGCCCCACCCAAGTCAGAGACTCAAGCGTGTCCATCCCCCAGATGGTGTGCGCCACCCCTTCCCATCTGCCTAACACCGGATGCATGTTATTACTATATGTGCACTTAAGTGTTGATCAGTTAATGCCAATTTGATGGTGAGTACATGTGGTGCTTGTTTTTTGATTCTCGGGCTACTTTACTTAGTAGAATGGGTTCCAGCTCTATCCAGGATAATACTAGACCAACCCTAACATCTTGAGAGACAATTATTCTCAAAAGTCTGCCATTATTCAATGACATTTTTCTTTTCTTTTTTTGTACTTTTCTTTCTTTCTTTTTTTTAAATTTTTTTTGAGACAAATTCTCACTCTGTCACCCAAGGCTCCAGCTCCAGCAGCTCCATGTGGTAGGGAAGCCTGAAGGAGTGACATAGGACAGGCTACCATGTGTCTTAGCAGAGGGTCACATTGAATTACTGGCTTTAATTAGTATTTTTACATTTGTATCATAAATAGGGAGTTGATTTGCCTACATCTAGCTAATATGGGGAAATAGGATGTTTTAATTATGTAGACAGTCCAAGTTGTTGAGTTAGGTCAATTCAGGATAGAGTGTAGTGGTGTCATCATAGCTCACTGCAACCTCAAACCCCTGTGCAGAAGCAATCCTTCTGCCTCAGCCTACCTAGTAACTGGGGCCACAGGTAAACACTGCTGCACCTGGCTAATTTTTCTATTTTTAGTACAGACAGGGTATCACTCTTGCTCAGGCTCATCTTGAACTCTTGTTCCCAAGTGATCCTCCCTCAGCCTCCCAGAGTGCTAGGATTACAGGTGTGTGCCACTGCACCTGAACTGTTCAACAACTTTTAAATTTCCACTTGGTAAAATACTTGTCATAGTTAATTTCACATGTCAACTTGACTGGACCATGAGGTGCCCAGATTAAACATTATTTCTGAATGTGTCTATGAAGGTGTTTCTGGATGAGATTAGCATTTGAATCAGTGGACTCAGTAAAGCAGATTGCCCTTTCCTATGTGCATGTGTGGGTGTGTGTGTGTATTTGTGTCTGTGTTTTAGGGGGACATTATCCAATCTGTTGAAAGGAAGAATTTGCCCTTTTTTCTGCCTCACCATTTGAGTTGAGACATTTCGTCCCATCTTCTCTTGCTCTCAAGAGCAAGAGAAGGTAATTTACACCATCAGCTCCCCAGGGTCAAGCCTTCAGCCTAAAACTGACTGATACAAACAGATTTCCTGGGTCTCCAGCTTGCAGACATCAGATTGGGGGACTTTTCAGCTTCTATAATCACATGTTTTTCTGGAGAACCCTGATTAATATACCACTTGGAGCTTGCTGTTATGCTTTAGAGTCCCCTCAAGTGTGATAAGTCTTTGTATTCTGACAGTGGGTTTGATTTTTGGACTCTATCACATTTTTGACCAAGTCAGGTTTGATAAATAATATTGAAGTTGGCTAGAAAATCAAGCAAAAGTAAAAATCAATGCAGCTGGTGAGTAACCTCATAAGACACAGTTTCTTCTATGACACATAGATTGGTGCTGAAGATCATTTCCAAAGAGGTTCAAAAAGTGACTTGAGCAATGGCAGAATCAGTGTAGCAAGGTTGGTCTCCCACAGAGCCACATGGAAGGATACAATGCTCCTTTGGAAATTCCAGTCCTTATGTGTGGTTTTAAAAGCAGTTTCATTAATTCATAACTTGACATCCCAGCCCACATGCTGCTGACGACTGCCATGTGCGTGGCCCTACTGGGGCAGCTGCTCTGGAGGCTCAAGGGTCTGAAGAAAACCCTCACAACCCTCAATTCTCTCAACCCTGAGGTTCAAGCATCTGCTATTAGAGAAACCAGGCTTTTTTTTTTTTTTTTTTTTTTTTTTTTTCAGATTCATTACATTCAGGAAGAGCATCCAAAGGAGAGTCTCTGATATTCTTTGCCACTCATTTTAGTCTTGAAGGGACTGGTCATCTGCAGCTGAAAATATGGTGGTTTATGAAAGGAGCCTCCCTGTGTGAGGATCCAAAGACCTGATTCTAGTCTTAGCCTTACACCAACTAGCCTTTGGGAAATCATTTCTCCTCCCTGGCTGCATTTTCTGTGCTGGTGGTTCTCCATTGGTCTCCCCCAGCTTTAGTCTCCTTCCTGCTCTGCCCTGCTCTGAGCCCTGGGAGCTGATCTCTGTGGTGCCCTTCTTACCCTCTGGCCTCTCCTTGGGTTTGGTGGAAGGGAGTCCCCTGCAGGAGATCAGAGGGTTTGAGGGGAGAGGGTGGGTACACACACACACACACACTCTCTCTCTCTCTCCCTGCGGGACTGTGATTTGGCAGTGGCTGTGTTTCTCTATGGCCTCTGCTCCCATTAGACGACCCCTGCCCACAGCTTCAGCTCTTGCCAGGTTGTAGCTCCTTCTTTTGCCTTTTCAGGTGAGGGATGGTAAAAGCTTCCCACTGTTGTTAATCCCAGAATGCTTTAATATCCCCAACTCTGCCCAGACCTCTGTAAATAGTCCCTTGAAAAAACTCCCTTTAATTATGTTTTTCAAATGTGCCTTCTGTTTCCTGTGGAGACCCTATTTGATGGGATTTTCTAATATGTATAATAAAGGGTTCAGACAAGTTGCTGCTTAAAGTCCCTTTCAGCCCTACCATTCTCTGTATCTCTGACCACATTTATGTTTGCTGATGGAAGCAGGGTAATTCTACAACCACAGACTTGCTCCAAGAACAGTAAACTGCTTTTCTAAGGAGGCCTTGACTTTATTATTTTTAAAGTCAAACTAAGATAACTTTAATAGTCCATAGTCATGATCTATTATGGGAAACAGCTTAATTCAAAATATTTAGCTTGGAGTTGGCAAGTAGAGCCAAAAGGTAGTTCTTTTTATCCAGGTATTATTTAAGAACCTCAGGATTAAAAAGCCTATAATTAATTAGGGCACCTTTTCTTCTGCCTGATTCATGAAGTCCACCTTGCCCCAGTTATGTCCCCGCTGACCTGTCTGCAGGTTTGTCAGCCTGTCTCGCTGGACCCCATCCATCTGGCCTATCTAATTGTAACCGCTGGGATGTAACTAGACACCAATGGCATTCTTCTTTTTGAGTAATCGCATCAATGAGTTATATTAGCTGTCATATTAAAGTAGCTCTCTGCTAACCTCTGGTAATATGAGAACATAGTCCCCATTAGCTTTTTCTTTCAGTTGGGTAACACCATCTCCCTGATGTTTTTGCCTCCTGAATCCAAACTGGGATGAAATGCCAGAAAAGAAACAGAAAAGTAAGGAGGTTTGAGAGTGATCCAATATTTTATTTTGTGCAGGATTTTTTCCCCTCAAAAAATAAAAACAAATATATTAAAAGCAGAGGTCTTGCGAAGCTTCAGAATGGTGGTATCCCACCTTTTCTTAGGAAGTGAAGTAGGATGATGAGGGTTTGGGGAACATCAAACCTAACTTAGAAATAACTGGGGGTAGGGTTGTTAGCTATGCAATCATTCTGTCAATTTTTACCATCTTTGTCCCTTCTCCAACAATATTAGACCAAAATTAAAATAAATATCAGCAGCTTACTTAACTGTCGTATTTTATTACTCATCTAAGATGAAAAAGTAAGTGGTTTCCAGTTTTTCATCTCCTGAGACATGAGTTCAAGGCATTTTACCAAATTTAAAAGGAATGTTTACAAAAATGCCTGGGATTGCATTTTTCCTATTTAAAATGGATCAAATATACTTTGTTTTCAATGTCTTGTGACACCAATATATTTCTCGATGAGTGTGATTTGAAAATAACAAACACAGATTTTATAAGCTGATGTCACCTGTCATAAATTCAAATTTTCAAACCTTGTTAAACTCAGATTCTTGCTACTTGGCATTGTCAGGGTCCCAACTATCTTTCTGCACTTGCCCTGAAGGCAGGAAGATGGGAAACAAAAAAATCAAACTGAAAGCATAGATGAGAAGTGGGAAGAACTTGAGGGGACTACGTTTATAGACAAAATTCAAGGTGGCAGTCCTGTGTATGCACACTCTCGCTTTTCCTTCCTATGTGGCTCCAGCTGTGGAGGAAGATTTTTTGGTTAATATTAATAGTTTTAAGGAAGAAAAACAGAATTGTTCGGTTCAGTAAAAATGCATCAAATAAAAAAGTTATAAGTTTTGATAGTTCTTCTATCCTTCCTTCTCCTTTTTCCTCCCTCCTTTCCTTCCTTCCATTTGTTCCTTTGTTCCTTCCCTTCTTCCTTCCCTAGGGGCCAAGGGAAAACTTCCCTTTCCCTCTCAGAAGGCTTGCTGAAAATGAACTGAAAAAAGGCAGATTTATAGGAGAAAAAGGCCTACATACAAATTAATTTTAACATGCACAGCACAGGGGAACCGCAGGAGGATGGTTGCCCAATGGTGTCCAGATGTTTACACACCCTTCCTCATAGTGGAAGGGGAGATGAGGGAGGTGTGACAATTTGAGGGACAGTAAATGATTTTTAGGGGGAAATAAATGGTCCCAATGCTCAGGTGATGGTTAGTAAATAATTTTCTTTGGAAATTAAATAGGATGAAGAGTAGACAATACTGTGGGACAAAGTCTGTCTGGGCTCCAGATGTGGTGTTTAATTTTCAGTCTGTTCCTCGGTGACATGAGTTTTAATGTTCTCTGGTTAGTGACATTTCAGGGAGGGAATTGAAGGCAATTGTGCTCCTTTTTGGCAATTCCAGTTTCTAGATTGATAAGGAAACCTTAGAGAACAGCATCATACGGTGTTTTAGGAACAACAGAAGATTGGGAGACAGGAGTTGGGGAGGGAAGGTCAGAGAGACCTTGAGGCTGCTTCATGTCAATGTACCATATTTTAGGGTAACATTTTCTGAGCCCCAATCTACTCTTCCTCTCCTTCCCTCCTCCTTCCCTCCCTCCTTCCCTCCCTTCTTTCCTTCCTTCCTTCCTTCCTTCCTTCCTTCCTTCCTTCCTTCCTTTTTTATTCAACAAAGTGGCCAATGCCAGAACAATTAAAAATAATAGAATTATATAAACAGGAACCCTGGGATAGAATTGGACTCCTTAAAAATATATTAATTAGATACGCATCATGGCATCAATGTATTATGCCCTATTTTGAATGTTGGGAAAAAGATGACTCTATGTTTGGCGTGGCCTGCCTATGTCCCATTAGTATAAATACACAGATTGAATTTCCATCTTTTGGCAGAACACTTCTGCTGCTTTTAGCAGCAGCTGTTGCTTTTACCACTGCTACAATTTGCTACTACCACCCCTGCTCTGCCTTTCTTGGTAGAAAGTCGGTTTGGTAAGTTGCCAACTCCAGAGATGATTTCTATAGTCATGGGATGCCCAGGGCCATAGAATTACACAAAAGATCATCAACTTCTGTCTAAATCGAACTGTGATAACTATAGTAAAATGAAGCCTTTATAATTAAATGCTTATAAACAGAGCCAGAGAAAGGGAGAAGGCATTCCCTAATGAATGAAATTCTAAATACATAATGTAGTTTTCTTACTTTTAGAAATCTATTTGTTTTAAACAAGCTACGAAAGTAATTCCTACTTTAGCCTTTCTCTATTTAAAAAATATCTTTCTAACCATGGTGCATGAACACACCAAGCCCTGGTTTGAATCAAAGTGGGGTTCAGTCCCATTGCAGATGCAGGCAGCAGCATTACCCCAGCATCAAAGAGCTGGAAATGGTCTGAAGCAGTCGGCTGGCCCAAGAAAATGGGAACCCTCTAGAACAGACATTTTCCTAATTTCTTCTTGAACATCTCCAGGATTTGTGATTCCATACCCTCCTTCAGTGATATGTTCCATATCACATGATCCTGGGACACAATGCTTCCATTCTAGTTAAAGAGGGATCCATTTCCTGTCCTTTGTTCTGTTGAGAAATAAAAGACAACGACTTCATCATACCAGACCTCATTTTCTCCTCCTCTGTAAAATGAGGTCTGACAAGATGATCTGCAAATCCCACTGCTTCAAACATTCTGATTCTTGTTCATTAATATTTTGGCTTCTCTTAAAAAGCAAACAAGCTTCTACCTGAAGACAGTGGGACATGTAGGAGCCATTAACATTTCCTGAAGGAATAAATAAACAAATCCATGCCCTTTCTAAATCCTGTTTTCTCAACCAATCGATTAAATTTTCCTCAATTTATTTTTATATTTACTAATTTTTCATCAAAAAAACTAGGGAGATAAGGATGCATAGTGGAAAAAAGAAGGCTTCTATGCCACATTTATTAATTATATTAATATAAGCTGGATCAAGTTGCTTATTCTCTGTGGCTTAGTTTTTTTCTACGTGATATGGACTAATAACATTGACATCAGGGCTGTTGTATAATGTATGCAAAGAGCCTAATGCAAGGGGGAAAATCACAACAAATTTTTTCCCTTTTCTCTAAGACAGATTTTGAATTACTCCATTCTTTTTAAAGAAGAGCATGACAGAGAATGTGATTTGCCTCCAATCTGCATCCTTTCCTTCCTTCTGGTAACAAGACCATAATTTAAATTGACCAGCTAATCCTTACAGCTGTATATAGCCATATGAGAAAGTTATGCAAACAAATATGAGTCAAATGGTAATGTGTCACCTTTAGAAGATCTCTTTAAAAGACAGATGAGCACTTCTTTCTTCCCCTTTTTTGTTGCTTGGAACATATATGTTATAGCTGGAGCTTCACCTGGCATTTTGAACTTTAGGGATGTGAGTAACGAACTAGGAGTGGCAGAACAGAAAGTTGAAAGGGGTTTGGGGACTCTTTAAAGTTCCACGCAGGCCTTACCTGCCTATATACATTCCTATATACATATATTTCTTTGTTGGAAACTTCTATCTGTTTATGCCATTGTTATTTGGGCACTTTCTATTATATGCAGCCAGGCCTAGAAGATAACATCAAGTGGATAAAATATGTCTTAAACTTCAAATCTATCTAACAAATAATTAATGTATATTTCTTAACCACTTATCCACTGTGCCTCCTTTCATCTTTGTTGACTTTGATTACACTAAAACCACAAAGATAGTTCACACTGAACTTGCAGCACCTACATTTTTCCTTTAGTATTTGTAGCTAGCTTATATTAAGTTTCATGCTTATTTGACCTCTTCTCCAACAATTCAATTTCATTTTCATTTTAATCAATTTTTGGCATTATTCATAATAATAATATTTCATAACAATTTAGAAACAATATTATTCAGTTAAATGGCCTAGGACTTGAAGTTTGAAGGCCTAGACCAGGCACCCTCAAACTACAGCTCTCGGGCCATATGCGGGCCACCTAGCACATTTATCCGTCCCTCTGGGTGTTTTTGCTGCCGCTGTCTGTCCTGCTTAAAAGCCAACTCGTCCCGGGCCCACAGTATGCACTCTCCAACGGTCTGAGGGACAGTGTACTGCCCCCCCCTATTTAAAAAGTTTGAGGACCCCTGGCCTAGACCAATATTGGGACTAGTACTTATTAGTTCTGTGACCTTGAATAAGTCCTTAAACCTCTCTAGCCTCATTTTTATCCTCAGGAGACAGAGGTAATAATAATCATGCTTTACTGACTTACTGGCAAATAGTGAGAATTAAGTAGGAGAATATATTTGAAAGTATTTTATAAAAGATAAAGTACCATACAAATATTGATTGTTATGACTACTAGTAGTCTCTTCAAATATAAGAGGCACATACTAAGTTTCTTTATCCATACAGAAGTTGAATAGAACTATTGGGGAGAATACCTTTAAAGATTCCAATATATGGCAGTTTCCAATATCTTTTATTACTTTTTTGAGGGTAGAATGAAGAATCATCAATTACAGACCTTACTGCCAAATATTAATAAACCAGAATAATGCTAAGGGACTATATTTATATAAATATTTTTTTAGGGTTGTTTAGGTGTAGAGGATAAATATTTAAGATCTTCAATTCTAAACAAAGAATTTGAGGATCTTTGTCCTCTTGGTTCTCTCCATCTCCCTTCTCCCCACACCATGCTGGTGTGGATCAGTGGAATCTGAGCACATTGCCCTTCAAGAGCATGATGGAAAGGTCAAAGCCATTATTTTATAGCTTGCCAATCATTTGGGACACAAGTGAAGTGTTAGTAAAAATGGAGATAACTTATATCTGTTACTTTCTCATTGTCCAGGTGGGCTAGCATAGCAAGAATTATTGAAGCTCAAATTTTTCTTCAAAAGCTGTATTGATTACCGCATAATATTTTCTGATGGCCAAGAATGTTATGTAAATTCCCCAAATGAACTGGAAACACCCATTTGATGCCTAACAGTTACATAAAAATTCCAGTTACAAAGGTTCTGCGGATGAGTATGCTTTAATAGGACTGAACTTAAAATTATACATATTCATCTTTCATATTAGGATTTAACTGAAGCTGGTAGAGTGATGTACCATTTTAGGGTGAACACACATCTTATTTTGTCTGGGAGAGTTCTAGTTTGTGTCCACTGTCTCCACCAAATTATTAATAGTGACCCTTTTACTTTCTAAAGCAATAATAAATTATATACTTACCCTTTTTAGAAGCATTTTATCATATTGGTTGAGTAAAATGGGATGTCTTTATAAATTCTAGGCAGGGATCATTCTTTGTGTACAGTCTGCCCCGTTGTGGAGCCTTTAACAACACCTCTTGTAATCTGTGTGTTCTCAAGACTCATCAACAAGCCTGACTAACCGATTCATTCTCTTAGGAAAGAAGGGCTCAAAAAGATCACCACCTCTGAATACCGATATCAGAGGTTGACAAACATGTGTGAAGGACCAGATAGTAAATATTTCAGTCTTTGTGGGCCATACAGTTCCTGCCTCATCTACTCAATTCTGCGGCTGTAGCATGAGAGCAGCCAGGCAATGTGTAAACAAGTGGATATGGCTGAGTTCCAGTGAAACTGTGTGTACAAAAGGCCTGGTCTGGTCTCTGGCCACAGGGTGCTGACCCTGATCTAGTGTAGTAATATTTTCTCTTGATAACTGGCTAAATGAAATCCATATTGTCCAGATTTCTTTTCAAGTGTTAAGAGGAGCAAAAGGCAAACAGTTGGCCTTAGTTAGACTGTAATTAATATCATGAAAAGACACTCCCATTTCTTACCAACAAAGCTTCTAATCATTCTGTCATCAACACATCCTGTTCAATCCAGTGAGTTACAGTCCAAATTTAATCTAAAGAAGTACAATGAGGATGTTCCCTCTTTAAATAAGCCAACACAAATGTGCGTCCTTCTAGTGCTATAGAATCGATAGGCAGCTACCTTTTTTGCTTAGGTGTTTAAAAATTTATTTGGTGTCCAACATGTGTTACAAAGAAGTTTCTGGAAAAATTCATTTTATTCTATATCTCCTTGTGTTTTCACAGGATGGGGAGAAGAGCACAAACTTACCTTTGGGAAATAGATCTGAAATGTGTAGATAAACAAGTTTGCATCTGTGAAAGAGGAATTGGAAAGGGGAGAATTGAAAACATGCCAGTAGTTAGAACACAGGAGGAAAGTCCATTGCCCTTTAAGTTGAAACAGAAGGAAAGACATGAGGGAAAGCCTCAAATAATATGAAATAAATGTTGAAACTATACTCAGAAATACATCAAAGCACTGGATTTCTTTCTTGCTATGTTGAAAACTGTGATAATATGATACGGTGTGCAGTGTGTGAGTACACGTGTGTGTGTTTCTGGAGAGGAATTAAAATTAGACAGCAATAAAATGTCAAGACCAAGATATTGGACATATTATTAAGCAAAGAAATGTATTCAGTCAATGTAAATAGACAAAAGTGTGACGTGCTCTAAATGATAATGAGTCGACAAGTTCTTTGCTGTCTGACCTGGAATATCAAGCCTCAATCAGGAATGAGTGGACTGTCTCTCCTGGAGAGGTAGACACTAGTTGCAGCCTGGGGAAAGAGGAAACATAAAAGCAGATCTAGATTTGCCTTGCAATGAGAGCTGCATATTAATCTAAAGAATTTCTAAAAAATCAAAAAGACATTTTTCAGCAAAATACACCCCTAGAGCCTCAATCATAAATCAGGGGAATAAACTTGAAACAGGATTGATTTCATCTTAAAGGGAATATTTCTTTGAAATGCTACCAACTGTAGTTGTCTTATTTGGTTTTCAATCCTACAACAAAATTGTGCCATATTGTGTCAAATAAGAAGAAAATATAACGGCTTGAAACAAATTTTGTAATTATGGGATCAATCAAAAGTGCATTAAATTTGTGTGTATTTGGGAAGTTATGCTATTGAATACTAAGTAGTTCTTAATATCAACCTTCATTTTTCATCTCAGTTTTAAGACCTTGACTCCAAAGTGCGAGATTCCCATAATAGAAGTTACAGACTAGCATGGATTCTGTGAAATTTAGTTGTTTGGCATTCCCTTTAGAAAATGCCAGGCACTCCCCTGGCAGAGACTGAAGATATGTAGGTATGAAAGAGATTTCTGTGGTCTAATACCTCTTTTATCAGACCCGAAGTACAGTTCTAATCTTTGGGCATATTCAGGTTTCCCTGAGACATAGACCATACTCATGAAAAACTAGGTTGCTTGTGATAAGGGAGGAGTTGACAACTGAATTCAATTTGGTTGAATTTTTGCAATACTATCCCTCCAGCATTTTATGTCCTTTGAATAGAGAGGAAAAGAGGTGAGTAGGTTAGGAAGCCCTTGTAGATGTTCAAAACATCATGCAAGCCTGAATTTGAAGTCCTGCTTCAGAAATTAGGAACTTGGACAAGTCATTTCCTTCTCCAGACTTCAGTTTCCCATCCATAAATTGGGGAACATTTTAATGACCTGTTTACTTATTGAAGATAATGTATGCAAAATACATAGCCAAAGGTCTGGTGCATAATAAGGGCTCAAGAAAATACAGCTATTTGATAAAAACCCTACAGTCATAATTAACTAAAACCACTAATGTTTCTGAGTAAGCTGGTAGGAAGTAGGTCTAACTATGGGAGATGTTCTCTTTCAGGTAATGTTATTTCGTCAGCACCAAGAGCAGGACTAATAACTTAGAGTAGGATCTGAGAAGACAGAATGTAAGCATAGAAAATTGGGACTGCATGCAGAGTCCATGGCAAAGTAATAGTTTATTTTTTATCTCTTGAGACTTGGTTTACCTTAAACAAATCTTTTTTAATTCCATACCCTTTTATACTCTTATTTCTAGAAATTTCTTCTGTCATTGGGCTGTTTTTTAAAAATATATATTTTCCCTATAGTCTTTTGATATAAATTGGCTATGTCTTCAAGTTTTTGATGCACAAATTTAGAAAGTAATACCATATCAACATGTTTCTTCTCCCTATGCTAACAACTTTCCACGGAAGAAAGTAAATTTTGGAGTTGGACGTGGTGGCTCACTCCTATAATCCCAGTTGCTCAGGTTGTTGAGGCAGAAGAATCACTTAAGGTTAGGATTTTGAGACCAGCCTGGGCAACACAGTGAGACCTCATCTCTAAAATATATTTAAAAAAAAAAAAAAGAAAAGGAAAGTAAATTTTGGAGCTATTTTCTTTTTCTGTTCATTAAAATGTTCCCTGCATACAAAGTTCCTAGAAAAGTAATAGCTTGTCCTTTATTTCTTAAGAGATGATTTACCTTACACAATCTTTTTAACAAATACCCTGTAGCATAAAGTAAACTGTGCCTGACATCTATCACATGAGCATTACATGAACCCCGAGGAAGAAATAAGTCACTCAAAACTGTCCAGGGATCTGGAGGAAAAGCTGAGAGAAAGACACCAGAACAGTTTATCCTTTGCTGGGCACTGAGGGCATGTCACACCCTACACCGTGTACTTTACATAGCCTCACAATAGTCTTAGGAAGCTGATGCCCTCATTTTATGGATAAGGACACTGAGAACCAGAGAAATGAGTAATCAGCTGAAAGTCCTATGACTACAATGTGGCAGACCTGGGATTTGAACTCAGAGTTTACTTCCTTTTCACCTGAGTCAAGTATCCTTTAGCATCTATTTCATCTTGCAAAATAACAGTATCTAAGGCTGATTCTCTCTCTCGGCCTCACTAGAAAAGCAGTGCTCCTGCTACCTTAAGGAGCTGTGGAAACAAGAGAAGAAAAGCACTTCTCTATAGCAGTGTTCTAAAAGTGTGGTCTTCAGACCAGCAGAATCAGCATCACCCGGGCACTTAGAAGTGCAATTTCTCAGGGCCCATCCCAGACATACTGAATCAGAAGCTCTAAGGTAGGCTGCGATTTTAACAGGCCCTTCAGGGGATTCTGAGGGGTGCTCAGAATCCCCTGTTTCAGAACCACTGCTCTGTAGCTCTAGACTTCCTGTCTTCATAATAATAGATGTAAGCTTCATGCCTACTGTTTGCCTTGCCTTATCAGTCAATGGCCAACAATGGAGCCTGCCTTGAAAAGGCAGAGGTGAGACGAATCCTACGAGCAATGTTGAAAATATTTCCATGTAGAACCCAATCAAGTTTTCAGCATCTCCAAAAAGTAGTACAAAACACACTCTGTCCATTCCTGACAACAGCATGGAAGCCTTTTAATTAGTCCACCCTGGAGGAAATAGAAAAGTACTTGTTAACTAATTGCTCTGATTACCAGTGGGCAGGATGTGCATTGTTTTCTGATGCATTTGTTAGGAGTGAGCAATGCTACCAAACTGAAGGCTTCTTACAGAGGGTGTTAACATGAAAGGACTCCAACAAGCCATGTGAGGGAGAGGGAGGTGGCGCTGATGGCAGGAACAGTCTCAGAGCCAAATTCTCAAAGACACACACATACACACACACTCACTCACTCACAACTACCGGCACACGCTGTGCAGACTGTTCAGTGGCCTGTATCCCAGAATATTCCTGGTACTCCCTTAAAGTTCCAAGAAAGTACCAAACCCTGGTACCTTACTTCAAGTTCTCATTGCATGGGGTAAATGCTTTACTGGAGGTGACTCACCCAGTGACAAGACATATACAACCAGGTTACAGGAATATAAGAAACTGAGATGCATGCCATTTATAGGAGTGTCCCATCTTATAACTGTGTGTGTCTAACACAGGCACACACTCAGCCCTGGTAATGAGTCACACACTCTTAGAGCTGGAAAGAAGCTCTGAGACTGTGTCCTCCACCTGCCTCCCCAACTAAAGGACTATTTCTATGATAGCTCTGTTGTAGCATCATTCAGTAACATCTTTGTGGAGTCACACAAAGTGGATTGAGAGCATGCTAGATGGGCCCAGGCTGTTGAAGCCACACACAGAAAAAGGTTCTGAACCTAAATCATAGCAGCCAGTTCCTGGGATTGGGGTTCTCAATAGAAGCCTCTCAGGAAAGAGGAAATAGGCCCATAACTAAATAACTAAAGGCCGTTCTGCCCTTTAATTTTAATTTATTCTAAGAATAAAAATCAATTGGCTTAGTCCAATCAAATCATCTTGGGTGAGGTATCTGCTCCTGGCCCAATTGGTCATGGCCAAAGCAAATCTCTTCACGGGACCGAGGGAAGGGCAGATTCTCTAGGTGGTGCAGGGTGATGGAGCTGATGGTGAAAAACACCAGTCACCACATTGACTTAACATTAGTGGTGGACATCCCTGTGTCCGCCACCATATCATAAGCATCATCACAATATCCTACTTATCTTAATAAGGTCACTTTCTAGAAGAATATCAACATGTTAGACTATAAACATGAATTAACTTTATATTTCAAAATATAGCTATAGACATTAGAGCTAAAGACAAATATTTCGGTTTTCCTCCTTCCAAGCTCATGGTAGAATTTCACGTCCTCACCCTTATGAAGTTAGGTGTGGCCATATGACTTTCTTTGGCCAACAAAATGTGAGCTGAAGTAAAGGCCACATCCGTGTGGAAGCCTTTAAGATCCAGTGCATGTTGTGACTGTATAACCTAGACTCTACTCAGCTTCTAGTGCAAGGCAGCCCATCCATTTCCTGGATAGTTGATCACTTGGGGAAAGACATATTACATGCAGTTTCTCATTGAAGCTCCTCACAAACCTATGAAGCAGGTTTTGTGATTTCCCACGTTATTAATGAGGCAAATGTGACCCAGGGAGATTAGTTGCCCAGGACCACATAGTAGAGTTGGGGTTCTAACGAGGTCTTGCTCTTGGCACGACACTCAGCCACTTTGTTAGAAAATATTTCTTTCTTAGAACCCCATATTAGTTTGCTCAGGCTGCCATAACAAAATATCACAGAAAATAACAGAATTTATTTTCTCACGGTTCTAGAGCTAGGAAGTCCAAGACCAAGGTGTCAGCAGATTTGGGTTCTTCTGAGGGCTCTCCCTGTGGCTTGCAGAAGGTTGCCTCTCCCGTGTCCTCATACAGTCTTTCCTCTGTGCGCACAAGTCCCTGGAGTCTCTCTGTGGGTCCAAATTTCCTCTTATAAGGACACTAGTTAAATTTGATTAGGGCCCATCTAATGTTCTCATTTAAATTTAGTCAACTGTTCACATGCCCTCTTCAAATACAGTCACATTCTGAGGGACTGGGCTATATGCAAATGGCTAAGCTCACTAAGACTCAAACTGCATCTTTTTGGCTGCTGAAGATTTGATTTCTCTGTTGGTTCTGACTTGAGGATGCTTAGGGTATGATTCTGGATCCTGATGGGTCAGCAATCAGTCAGCTAGATCTGCCCAAGCAGAGCCCAAGAGTTCTCCCCTGGGTGCAGGAAAGCCTTAGCTCAGATAAGCCAAGTGTTCCAGAGAGATTTCCCTTCACTAAAGGTCTTTCGCACTGTATTGTGGCCATTCTCAAATTCACATAAATGGAATAAAAAACAGTCCCTGGTTTAATCTGCTGTTCCAGCCCCTGTGAGGACACAGCTGGTGAGGGTGTGCTGCTCTATTCACAAGCCAGTCCCTTCTC